AGTCTGTGTCTTATTTCTGTAAATTATAATTGTATCGCCAACCCTTCATAAGGCTTGAGGCACGGGCCGTCAAACTGCATTGAACAAATTTTGCACTAAAGTATATTTTTTTAGTTTAGTACAATTTAAAAAATATATCTTAGTGCTAATAGTACAAAATAAAAAAATATTTCTTAGGTTCGATCTACCCCACTTTACGTTACATCACAGATACCCGTTACTTAGCCACCACACGATCTTTGTCACGCGTTCAGTGATGGTGGTTCAAGAAATGGTTGGTGGTATTTAGATGTCTCCATCATGTGCTGTGCAAAGATTCGTATATCACTCAGTAATTTAGTTGAGATCATTTTATGTTTCGTATTCAATTTTATTTAATTTTGATAGGGACCAGAGGTGCTAGGCCCTTCGCTTTTTCGGAAATGGGCATTGGTGCTAGGAGCTTTGGAGGTACAAACGTGTTCCCAGAGCTGCCTTAAAGCACTGTAGAGGGCTGGTGGTGTGTTTAGTGGTTCTGGTCGGCTATACGATTTACCACACTTCCCACGTCACACTTGCTCGTCGTGGGCGTGCATTAGGCATTAACACTATCAGTAAAAAAAAGGTTGTAGTTCCTTATATTTGACAGGGTAAAAAAATAGAAATATAAATTTGATAGGGTAAAATAGTAGAAATTTTACAAAAACTTTGATATGGTGAAGGTTAAAGCAACACAGTTATTTATATAAAAGAACACATAACATACGAAAGTAGATGTTAGATCAGAACGCGTTAAATAGGAATGTTCAAAAGAAAATTGGTTTTCCCCAATGTCCTTGCACATCAATGTACTCAAATTTAAATAAAATCCTTGGAAATTATTACATTAAACCTCTTTAACAAATATAACAATTTTTTTGCCTAATTTTATGGTTTTTAAAAGCACGTTTTTTGTCAAACCGTCGCATAGCGCAGCATGTGTGATGTGGCGTAGAAGTGAATTAGTCGTTATTAGTGTTGTCGCTAAAACGTCGCGTTTACGATCGAGGGCAAAAAGCAGGTTGCGATAGCGCACAGCTGACGGGTGACTATTGCCGACCACTTATCACACTTTTTCGAAGCCAAGAATGACATTAAGACCCTGCACTTCAAGATGAATTGGGAATGGAGTCCTTTGATACAAATGAGTGAAGTTTTTTGGCAATTATATAATCGCTTCATTATAAATACTTACTATTAGACGATTAATTAGCTTAGAAAGTACTAGGCTATAAATTCGTGCTAGTGGCTGACTAAGTGAGCTACCGTATCATATAATCGTTTTATTTGAATACATTTTTAAATTTATATTACGATCAAAGTTTTCTAAAGTAGGTACTAGGCAATCATAAGTATTAAAGAGTTGTAGAAATTGCAATCTTTATAACTAATACTAACCTAACTACAATCAACGTCTATGTTTTTCAGTCTGTTCCGTATTGACTATACATTGTAAGTGATCTATTCCGTTACTTCTTTACGCTAAGATACTTCTACAATACCTCATGAGTACGTTAGTAATATTCGCTAATTGGAAATTGACACGTTTATTAATTAAAAAGCATTATCTGCCAGCCAATCACTTCTCGTTGTAGTTGATAAATAAATGTTTGTTTAAAACCTAAAATCCAGACTTAATCCACTTGAGGTGGTTTAAAGTGCTGAAATTTCGAGTCACGTTTAATTATAAAGCCCATTTTCTGCCTTTCTTTACAATATTATAAATAGTATCTATTGTCAGTCTGTTAAAAATTTTATTGATATCAAGTTGTTTCTAAACAGCCTTGTCTCTTCATCGGTTTGTATCTAAAATAGCAAACAGCCCTAATTTAATAAGATTTGTCGCATTTCTTACAATTCATGTTTGTAACGTGAATATGACAGATGATTGTCGGATATGGAGAGAGGTTTTATAAAGTACACGTGTTTGTTTTGTTTGACAGACTCGTGGGCGGTGGTGTCGCGGGCCTTTCTTCTAATTTTGTAAAGGCCTATTTACAATGAGTATGAAATAACTACGACGAGTTTTAATGTTTCTTCTAGCAGTTGAGAAGTATTATAATGTTTTACAAAATATCGCAACAAGTGTTAAATTGTTGTTTATTAAGACTTCCTTTCCTGTTATAGTGATAATCGGTCTCTTTCAAATGAATAAGGCATTTATTAAATTATTTTAAAATACCTACTAGAAAACAGACGATTGCCTGAGTTCTTTTACGTTACTATTGTATTAATATGTTAATAGGTTAAAATCATAGCCAACATAAACGATTGTTATCTATCGACAAAACGTTAGGTCCATATTAAATCATTTTAATAGTGCATTGATACAGTAAATATTAAAATATTATGTAAATTAGCTGCAGGAAACGTGTTACGGACCCATGTAAATACGCCTTTAGTTGAGCACGCTAGATTTGCGTGTGGGCTTTACCTTTCCACAAAATCTTATCAAATAAGTACTTAGGTGCATACCTACTGCATACTTTAGTTTTGATTTATGTTCATACTCCAACAACGTGGAACGGACCATTAGGAAAATAAAAACTACACAAACGCAATAATTAAATAGTACCTGCCTACCTAATCTTTACAAAATCGTATTTTTATTTATATGGAATGTCTAGCTCGTGTTACTGACGCTTCCACTGAGAAAGTTATATTTTTAAATAAAACACTTTAATGTTTTAAAACGCGATTGTGACCCCATGACCACGGCTGCCAAGCATTCGAAATGTCGGGACGTAGTTATAATAATTCTCAAATAAGTTTACCTAATACTTATATATCGCGTTTTAAACCGTTAAAATGTTTTATTTTAATGTGCGTTAAAGTAACGTTTTGTATTTGGTGATGGTAGAACCTTTTACTATTTTTTAGTTCAATAACATTTTATATCATGTAAAAATAATCATACAAAATTTCGCCATCTTTTAGTAGAATATTTCCCAAAAATTCAGACTTAAATATATTAATTAAAGCATTGTGATCAAAGAAATTCTTTATTCTATAGGTACTCACAGAGTTAGGAAAGACTTTGAAGAGCTTTGTTAAGAGATTCAACTTAATACAAAACTTACTTAAAACAATTGTGTTTGTTAATGACAACATATGTTATCATTAACAAACATTGTACAATATAAAAATCGTATTATATCAATATGAACTTTGATATTAAAATTGTTTATTCCAATCTAAATCGTTATCAATTAAACTAGTTACACTTTATTATCAGTGTTTAACAAAAGCGTTCTACAGTTACAAGTGAATAGTGATTACCAATAGTTGCGATACTTAGAATGATTTTAATGTTTGCTCTAGACTTTGTAATTTATACACTCTACAATAAAATTTTGAATTTAGAACAGCTTTGGTAAAGTCATTTCAACATAGTGTAATTCTGTAAATTGGATTATAATTTTGTAATAAATAGAAACATCTGAATATATTTTGGTTTTCGATTTAGTAGCTACCGGCGCGTGCGCATCGTTTCAAGTTGGCTTTTGAAGTTCTATTAAATCCAATCATTTTATCTTGATACAAACAAACAAAATATTAATACTTAATATTATTAATAAATAAGATGTATGCGGAGGGACATCACTCAGCTTTTGGTGTACCTGGAAGTACGCATAACGCCCAGAAAGGAATGATGAACATGTTCTTTAATTAGATTAACTTTTGAAAACTTTGATATTTTTTACATGTTGGACTATATAATTTAAAAATCGAAAGAAATTGAAAAAATTTTTGGCTCGACCAATTGAGCTACCAAGTCCCACACCTCATCGTCGATTCATCATTCGTCATTTTGCTACATTCATTTAGCAATTTTTAGCATCTGATAAGAATGGTAACAACGAATGGCGCAGCTAGTTTAGATATTAACGAATCGTACGATTTGTGAACATGTGTCACATCACGTCCCACACAATATTGCGGTTATTTTTCCCCGTAAAACTGTAACGCGTTTAGTTGGTTAATATCGAACACTTGTTGCGGCTGATTTCGTTATTCCGATATTAGGTAAGTGAGTCACTGTGGCACAATTGACGAGTAGATGCGGTTAATTACGAGATATTATGATCTTATTGAATGGTAATAAGATATATTATTGCGTGACAGCGAATTGTTAGTGAAACAAACTTGATGTAAGTGCGCGTGGTCTATCTACGGCAAATGGCGAGCTTATCAGTTGATACGTTGCTTTAATCCAACTTCAGTTCGCTATAGGTACTTTGTCTAATGTATGATGATAAGTTTAGGAGTTCCCGTCTATGAAGTATTGCATTTCGTCTGTATATTGTCCTTTATTGGTATCATTTATTAACTTTAGTCATTACATTTAGCATATAGTGTCGCAGCATAATTATCTCTATTCATTTATCTCTATCGAAACATAAGCACTGTCTGCAGTTTCCGTGAGTAGTACACATTTAAATGTAACTGTTTTAACGGTTTAAATTCGGAATATATTAACTTACTTTTAACTCAGCTTCACTAAATATACGAGGAAACAGGCCGCGGTAGTGTTGTAGATTTCACTTTGACATTAGGGATTTTTATATAGTCTTTAATAAAGGAGAAACAAGACTAAATAAATGTCAATGTCTGGATTCTGACCATTGAGACAACTATTTAACATAAGAATATTGCTCACATGCAATTCCTAGAACTTTGTTCGTAGTAACGCTTAGGATTTGTAAAGGAGTTGGTCCCTAATTCTAGAAAGAAGCTATCAGCAAATATAAGACGCGTGAGAGTTTTAAACGAAAAGAGAAACGATTAAAGTATTAGTCACTTTACTTGATGACTTTATAATAACTAAAAATTTACCCTCACATTTTTATATTAAGTTTGTTAAATGTCTTGTGTTGTTTCTGAAAAAAACGTATTCTATCCTTCATCTAGAAAAGCTTGTTAACGATTTGATCCTTTCAGATTGGGCATTGTGAGCTCCTTGCCGTGTCTCTCTGATAACGATGTTCGGCGGCAGCGGGGGTGGTGGTTCATACAGTGGTGACTGTGCAGAAGGGTATGGCCTTGGGTACGTTGGCAACGGTCGCCTACAGCAGTACGCGGCGCACTTTGCCCCACCTCAGAGCTGGCACCATCATACACCGCATCATGATACCTATGGTAAGTTAAAATGCTAAGGGTTTAATGAATCCTTATAGTCCCTCGAATCTTTTGTCCCATTGTGTGCGCTTAAGGCTTGTGACGTCACAATACGTCACTAGTGTAGTATCGCAAAGAGGTAGTTAAGGTATTGAAGATTGATTAGTCATTAGTGCCTCGAATGTTATATCCAATTTTTTTTTTTAAGTTAATGACGTCACAATACTTTACGAATGCGGTTTGCAAGGAGTAAGTTAAGGTTTGGTGAACATTAATAAATTTAAACAATGACACGTTGTCCAGTTTAGTGTTTTTAAAGCTTGTGACGTCACTATACGTCACAAGCTTGCTTTACCAGTGTGCTATCAGGAAAGTATTTTTATAAATTTCATACAAGTACGCTTAGCAGACTACTGTAAGCGGCAAGTCTGAGATTTGATTTTCTTTTGTCGCTTGTAATTCTTACATTGATGTAAAAATAACAAACCCTTAATAAATTAAGTACGTTCTTAGTATCTTGGCTTATTATACCTTTTCATATTGAATATGTATTTTGGAAATGATAAAAATGTTAAATGATTTAAATGTATATAAAACAATTAAACTACTTACTTGTTTATAGGAAAACTTATCGGCCGAATCAAACTTAAAGTTAGGTATTTTGTCGATGTGAAACCCCCATTAACATTAGACCATATAAAGATAACCTAATTCCATTCCAACAATATCATACGTCAAAGGGGGTATATTTGCGTAAGTAAAACCGCAGTAGCTTTGCGGGGTGCGGGTTGAGGGGCGCTGATTCAGCAAGCATATCAAGACTGTCATTCCCAGAACGATAGATTGTTTTCCCTTCAGGATAAACTGTTATTATTGTCCGATCTGTTGTGATCTACTTCAGAGCCATGAGGATAACGGTATAACAAGTCATAAGCGCAAGCGAGGTTTAACTGCAAGACATTCTATGTAAAAAGTATTTTTATGATAGAGGAGGACAGACAAGCATAGGGTTCACTTGGTTGGTAAAATAACCCAGTATCATCTATATCTAGATGGGCTGTCGACCTATTTTGGTTTTGGATCTTGAAAAATCCACAGACTGAAACCGAAACGCGATTACATTTCACGGTTTTTACATCCGTGGACGAAGATTCGTGACCTGAACGGAATTTCGATATTCCTACTAAATCGGTTATGTCCAGATTTTCACACAAAATCCAAGACGTTTCAGAAAAAATATAATTTGAGAACTATTAGAAACATGTTGGACTCGAGCCATACATAATACCGTTAGACCAAGGAGCCCGCCAAAGTTTTATGAACGTAATTTTCTTACATGTCCGTACTTTGTGACAAGATATGAGAGTTTTATGCAATATTTCATTTAAAATCATAAATTGACGGTAAAACGGCCTTATCGCTCGCAAAGAGCATTACGCGATAGTTCTATACAAAAACCACAATTTACTAATGTTAAATAAATTCTTATTAAATAAAAGATTAATAACAATGAATATATGGTGTTGTAACAGCCAGAATTACCACAGAATCAGTATAAATTAAAGTTCACCTGACGATAGCACTGCAGTATTGATATAATAAGATTATAAAATGAGCTTATTTTGAGGAAAACGTTTGAAAATTGGTCTAACAGTTACACGTCGCTCATAACTTGGACTGAGGTTAAATATTGTGTATGAATCAGTGTTGATAAGGTCGATGGGCTTCGTCCCGGTCAGTTTGTGCTGTGACCTTTAACCACAGGGTCGTGTTCTTGCCACTTGAGAGTGCAAATCGTAAAATCGCGAGATCTTATCACTTACGTTGTCTAATCGTGACCATGGAAATTAATTTGGCTGAGAGCTTTTTGCAGAATTTGGTACATCTCGCAGGTTCGGACCTTAAAACCTTTATTTAAGTTAAGCTTTAAGTTTCTTATTAAATAATATTATATATTTTTAATGCATTGAGTCTATGCATTTTTGTATCGTTAAACAAAACGTAATCTATTAATGATAAAAAAAATTGTTTATTTTGTTGTATATTGGAAACGTAAGATATAATTTTTTTAAGAGGATAATACACCCCATTTATTTTAAGCTTTGTTTAGTAATTAGTACTATGTCTATAGTCATTATTAGTCATTTATTATATTATAGTGCCAAACTTGTTTATCTGTGGTCTTTTCTAAATTCAATTGTATGATGTATTATTACAAACGGCAGTAAAATGGCGCCATTTTCAGGTGGCGGTAGCGTGAGCGGAGTGAGTAGCGTCGGCAGCGGACTTTATGGGCAGAATATGGTCATGGGAGGTTGGTGCGCGCCCTACGACGCCTTACAACGCCCGCCCACTTATGGTAATTATTTCAATTCTTTAATGGATCACATGACATGACATACCTAAGACCAATGTTTAACTTTGGAAATATTAATTATTTGACTAATGTAGGTAGTAGGAATTGTACTTAAGCTACGGGTGATAATTTTATTATGTTTTGATCTGTAAAATAATTTTAAAATATTTACATAATATATAGCCTAAAGACTACTTAACGCGGTTCAACAAACACATAAACATATGTGTTTTTTTTTTTAATAATTCGACTAAAACTAGATTTTTTATATCCAATCGTTCCTATATACCTGAGTTTTTACTTTAAATTATGGTAAATTCCACATTTTATTATAATTAATATGTTATTTATGGCCGACTGCACTCGGCTATAAGCATACGTTATATTTTATTGGCGCGTTACGAAACAAAATCCCATAAAACGCCGTCTAATCCGTTTTATTATTGTGATTTAATCCGTCGGTCGTTAAGGCTGGAAGCGTTATCAGCTATGTATGGAGATCAACCTGCCGATCCGCTTGCACTGCTTCATAATAACATATTATATTCAACGGAGACAATCGTAAAATGCAGAGTTTTAAATGATCTCATTATTTGGTCAATAGAGAGGTTTTATATGTGTACTTTACGCAAGCTAAAATTTTTTTATGATAGAGATTTTTGATGCTAGATGGTAGACCTTGTAAAACCCTTATAACGTCTAACAAGATACGCTATCGATCTATTTTGGCCTTGAATATTAGGCATCTAGCGACAGCAATTTTTTATCTGTGGACGATGGTACGCGACCGGGATGGAATTTTGATATTCCTACCACCTATTAATTATCCATATTTCCAGACTAAGACCAACATAGTTCAGACAAATTATAAATCGATTAGGAAAATATTGGACCCGGTTGGGATAGAACCTTTTAAATAAAACTCTTTATCGGTTTAAAACGCGATATATTAGATAAACTTATTTGAAAATGATTTTTAACTTCGGCCTGACGTTTCGGATGCTTTGCAGCAGCCGTGGTCACGGGGAGACTAAAGATGGAGGATGTCTCTGACTTCAAAGTAAAAAATTGCTACGCTAGCGCCATCTATTCCGTCGAAGTTGGTATTTGGCGAAACTGGCCGGGTCCTTACAGAATTGACTAACGGGCCGTTAGTCAATTCTGTAAGGTATCTTTAGTCTCCCCGTGTCCACAGCTGCTGCAAAGCATCCGAAACGTCGGGCCGAAGTAAAAAATCATTTTCAAATAAGTTTAACTAATATAGCGCGTTTTAAACCGTTAAAGTGTTTTATTTAAATGTGTACTACTCGCGTAAACTATAGACAGAGATAGAACCTACGAACCGTTGAGCCATACATTGCTACCAACGGATCCGTCAGAGTGAAAAATCAAAACATTAAACGAAAACTAGTTCGGACAACGCAGTTCATTGTATTAATTAAATATTTTAACGCGTTTAAAAGTTCACGTTAGGAAATCAATAATTGTGTTTTATATTACATTGACTTTAGATTTGAAGGGAAATAAACAGAAAACATTTTTAGGAATATCTACTCAAGAAAAGACACAATTACAATTTTAGTAATGTTTATTTGAATCCCAAGAATATTATGTTGACGAGCGATCAAAAATAGGAGTCTACACATCATCATGGTGCTATCCGGTGGGTGATAAGCTAAGCAAGCTAAGTGCCTACTTACCTATCGCCATGTTATTGTTTCAATTTCTAAGAAACGATAACGGATAAGCAAGTTTGTAACTGCTGCGTGTGCGCAACCCGCCGTGACATCGATACGCCTTTGTTTGGCGATATCACGTGATTAATGTTTATTGAGTATCTATTTGTTCCTATTCTAATCTCGCTTCGATTAAAATAGGAAAATTATATCATGGACGTATTATACTAAAATGGATATGGATGTAACTCTTGGGAGAATTCCTTTATATCAATGTTTTTTTTTAATAATATATGAAACAATCGTCTGATGCTATAAAAGTACATTGTCAAAGATAAAATCAAATAACTGTAGAAATCCAAGATGGCCGATCAAATCCATAAAAATGTTCGTAGATACATTGTTGGCAACTGTTTGAGTTGCCAACAATGTGAAACCAGAAATTTAACGAATCGTTAGTTTTTCACAGATATTATGCTTTCGTGTAATCTAAGTTACCCACCAATTTAGCTGCTATAGTTTATAACATAAGTATTTCTACACATTTTCTTTCTGCACTTCTTCCTATTATGGCAGCATTTAAGCTTTAAGCGCTAGAGATCCTGGGTTCAAACATGGGGAAGTCTACCTACTTGCCTGTAAACAACATAGATCAGTGAAACGGACACAGACATGTGTTCGCCTTATCCCTGGGGGAGCATTTAAAATAGGGTAATTCCTTCGTCCGCTAATTGTCAATGCCATGTACATCAGATGGTGTCCTAGAAGCATACGAAGAGGGGCGGGAATGTGTCAACTGCGGCGCGAACAATACCCCGCTGTGGCGACGCGATGCAACCGGCCACTACCTATGCAACGCCTGCGGTCTCTACCACAAGATCAACGGCGTGAACCGGCCGCTGGTGAAGCCCAGCAAGCGGCTGGTAAGTGGAACTCTTAGCTATAATAACACGCTTTCTGTGTAGGTGCGGACGCGGAACTGCTGACCCGTTTCTATAAGGACGGCTCCGTGCAGAGGTGGATGAGCGAGGGCATGGCTCGAGGCATGAAGAAGGTGAGTCGGTGGCGTGTAGACTAGTCGCTAGTGCATGCTAACCACCCGCGCCCTGCACTCCGCTCGCAATAATGTCCCCCCCTAGTGTACACGCTGCCGCTCCCCTCGTGTCTCTTAGTGTCCCTCGCCCTTGTCCCATCCCCTATTTGCGAATAGCACCTGAGAAAAGACAAATTCCACTTTAAGTGACTACTCACTGTCTGGTGTAACGTGATTCACTTGTTATTCCAATTTCAAATTCGTCTCAAGTTTATTACAAGATAATTAATTTAAAAGTAATTTACTTATGAGTAAAAACCTATTGATTGTAAACATATTTTTTTATAAATAACGTTTTGTTATTCTCACGTGCTATATCTGCTGTTAATGGTAGAATGATTAGATTATTCGTATAAACTATTAGTATAAGATACTTCTAAACGATAGATAATCTATATTGCTTATTGGTTTTGTGGGTCTTACTTTTGTTAACAATATTTTTCGCCTATATTGTATATACTTAGATATTTTTAATTCAAGATGCATGTGTAAATAGTTAATATATAGCTACTCTGCAGTCGCCCCGTGACCACTATACACAATACTATATATCTGTTTTAAGCTACATTAAGCCGTAGATATAGTTCTATAAGCATGGTTATTGGGTATAAATTATAAACGCGTACAGACTGTAGATTAGAGAGGTGGCGCGTGCGTTTGTATTGTGTATCGTGTGGCCAATTGGGAAGGAGCCCCGCCCGCGGCCGCGACATTCACTCTACAACAATATCCATAAATATTATCTCCATTTTGTACGATACGCGCGATCGTGTGGCGATACAAGCGTCTATACCCCTAGTATAAGCTTTGCTAGTTATCGAAAATCTTATAAGATATTCCAACAATAAGTTACTAACACCTCTGTCAAGAGAACTTCTGGTAAAATAATATAGGAAAATAGTAGATTTATTATAGTTAAATACTGTCTATAGTTCACGCGAGTAGTACGGATGCTTTGCAGCACATTTTTTGGCTGACAAACGCATTAGCAACAAAGTCCTTAAAATGATTTCGACAAATATAATAGTTTATCATAAATCAAGTTCTACTGATATCACTACTTACTACATACGCATTATTCTAATTAAATAAAACACTGCGAGACACAGAACGAGAAATATTATCATCAACTCATTTACAAGACCTTTGAACTGGAACGCAGAATGTATTAGATGTTTTATTTTTTACTACGACCTGACGATTCGGATGTTTTACAGTAGCGGTGTAAGAAAAATGTGATTCACTTGATTGCAGGTGATATACCCTATAGCACCTAAAGAAGATGCACTGTCGACCTATTTTGGCTTTGGATAATCGGAAATCCACAGACTGAAACCGAAACGCGATTAACCTTCACGGCTTTTTCATCTGTGGACTGCGTTTCGTGACCCGGACGGAATTTCGATATTCCTACCACCCACTTAATATCCAGATTTCCAGACGAAGTCCAACGTGTTTCAAAAAAATTAGAAACATCGACCCGGTGAATCGAAACCACGACCCGTTGATCATCAGCCATACATTGCAACGATTAGACCAACGGGCCGGTCGATTGAAAAGAAACTCGAGTTAATTACGTAATGCGCAGACGACTCAATAAGGTTAACAAAATTAGGCTATCAGTGGATATTGTCACGAACGTGCTAAATGCGCTTATCACAAGGCTAAATTAACTCGTTATGAAAATAATGGGATCAATGCTAATTTTATTGCTTCAGTTAAATATTTATTGATTGCGCGTTATCTACTTATTTATTTTCAGTCGCAAAATTTTCCGTTTAGCTACACGATAAGGTTATTTAAAATAAACGGAATATGCTCATAAATGTTCTAGAAGTAAAATAATACGTTAACATAATTGAGATACGGTAACTTTTTAAAAATTCGACCACCTCTGTAGCTAAATGGTTAAACGTAAATTCGAATGAGATTGAATTTGATTACATAATAATATTTAGTAGAAGTAAGATAAATAAAAGATGTAATAATTATGAAATTAAGTACACACAAGAGAAGTTTAGTAAGTTATGTTAAGCGTTTAAAAATTATAATGCCTATACTTCATATGTTAAAATACCTACTAGTATGTCTATTAATTGTCTATTTAATTTAGGTACCGATAACGGTGATTATGAAAGACCCTCAAAAAAACATTCCAGGTTATTTCCAATATGTTATTTTATCGCGTTTCCTCTATTCATTAGTAGAGTCTACCACGACCACGGCTATAATGCGGGTCGTGGTTACAATAAATATATAAAAAATAACTAATATATTTCGTGTTTTAAATCGATAAAAGTGTTAAGATTTTTAAAATAAACTTACATTACAAGACTTTCACGAGCCGAACTCTCTTGTAGGTATTCTGGTGATTATTCTATCTTGTTTATGGCTTGGTAATACTTAACAATAACAAGATTTATCAGAGATAAATTTGCATGATGCATGAGAAAGATATAAATTCTTTTATATTGTTTAAGTTTTGCTTTGAGCTATTTCTTATATGTAAAGTTCTGTTCCTTGAAAATTGTTCTTAGCTTATCGTCTTGTATAGTTCAACATTGAATTTGACAGTCCGCGGCCCGTCGTCATGGACAATGCTGCACCAACTGCGGGTCCCGAAACACGACGCTCTGGCGCAGAAACAACGATGGCGAACCAGTGTGCAACGCGTGCGGTCTCTACTATAAACTGCACGGAATCAACAGGTAAAGCCTTTTGTGTTAAGGCTTGTTTGTCTAGCATATAGTGATTGATAATAATAACACCTTTATTGCATAAACCTTATTACAAATATTATATATAAATAAAAATGTTTGTGCAAAGGCGGCCTTATGCTAAGGTGATTTTTCAGGCAGCCTTTGCATGTAGAAAGAAAAACAACATTAACATAACACTTAATCTATTAACTTAAACTTAGCATAAGAAAATTAGTAGAATAATAAAAACACATTTTATTTTAGTTTAACTTTGTGACTGAAATCAGGTTGTATTTCTGAGTCCGTTTTGTACACTAATTAAACTATCTGGGGATTCGAACCCTGAACCTCTCATTTAATTATACATTGAGATTAATTATACATTGAGATAAGTAAGCGTTAAGCTATGGGCCCCCGTGGCCATAGTGGTGGTTCATAGTAAATTTTAGCTATTTCAAGAAAGTAACAAATAGCGATGGAGTTTTTAAGTATAAGTGTTGTATGGTTTTAGGCCGTTGGCTATGAGAAAAGATGGCATTCAGACGAGAAAACGAAAACCGAAAAAATCGTCGAATGGCGCGAAACCATCTCAGGACACTCCCAAAAAGGACGGTCAAGGATCACCAGGAATGGACGGTATGTCTTTGTGGTCTAAACGTAACTTGTTCACTGTTAATTTTATTGACTTATTTTAATAGCGAAGTAAAATTTCAATATTAGTCAATAGTTACGTGCCTTTTACGTCTTACCCATTAGTTATAGTATTAATATAGAATAAGATTTCTAGTAGGTAAACTTAATAGTGTTGATAAAATGATAGCAAATTTATAAACACTAGTAATTACTACTAAGTACTATACTAATTATTTTTAAATCTTTATAAAGTCCTCCTTGAATACATTAAATAAATAATAGTATAAGAAGTGTATAGTAAACTAATATCCAACTATATGCTGATTTTATTTAATTTACGTACCAAATCACTGCCAAGGAAATTTACCCTTTGTTTTTAACTGATGCTGTAAATACCTATTGAAAGCCCACGTCGGGTTATAGTGACTTAGAGAGTGTGGTAAATCGTACACCCTCCACAGAGACAATAGTCGAACAGAACCACCAGCCCACTACGATGCTTTCGTGCCCCGGGAAGTACCAGCTTACCCTTGCGTTGTAAGAGTCTACAGACGAAAACATTTTTAAAATTAATATTTTATTAATTTACAGCAGCAGACAGCAAATCTAGTATATCGGAAGTGCCTCTTCCATTGACAGCCTCGATGTCCCACGGGAGCAAACCGCGTCCAGAAACCTCCGGCCCGAGTAGCTCTTCGCCTCACACTCACACACATGCCCACGCCCATTCCCACTCCCACGCCCAGCCACCGCAGTACCCTCTGGCGAGCACGGCTTTCCTTTCAAGTCCGTCGCTGTTCAACATCAAGAGTGAACCTAATGCACCACCAGGGTACGATGGTTACGCCTCGCACACAAGCAACGGGCCATACCACTCGCAGCAGCATTATTTACATGCCCTACAGGTTAGTTTTACATTGGTACTGTTCTATATAATATAGATGTGAGTATAGAATCCTCTTCCCACCGTGGCGCATGGCGTGAACACATTTCTGTGTCCGTCTTACTGATCAGCTCTTTTACAGTACAGTAGTTAATTAGACCTCTGTGCCCTAAAAAACAAGCTATTGTTTCCCTGGGATTCGAAGCCAGGACTTCTCGAGCTTAAGGCAAACAATTTTTAAACGGTATAAAACACAAAATATAGTTTTATTCGAGGGATATTTAATTTCGTCCTTGTATTTTGACAGCAGTGGGTACAGTTGGGTGTTTTAATTATTTACTTAACATAATGACTTACATTGAACAGCAACTCTTGTTACTAATTGAATTGGTATTTTGCTGGTACCGTAGTCTAAATTATTTTATGACGGCTACTATTATTAACTTCAAATATTGGGTAGCAATTTTTAAAGAGGAAAAAAACGTCCTACTTGTTTATTATACTACCATCCTCCGGCAAACTTACGAGGAAAAGTAATAATTCCAAACGTTGTATTACCGTTACATTTTTCCTTACAGTATGGCCTAAGTAACGGTGAAGAAGAGGAAGGCAGCGGTTTCCTTCACCAGCGTAACGTCACAGCACACGCAAAACTTATGGCCTCCACGTAGCAACTAGCAAACATGCCAACCCACTACGCACAACAAAAGTGACATAGAATAGCAGTAATTCTTGCCCTTTCGAATTCTTAGTCTATTTACTGAAACCGTTGTGGATTTCCGAATATCCAGAGCCAAAATAGGTATCAGCACATCTTGTTTCGATGTTATATGGCTGGGGTATACCTGACATCAAGTGAACCTCGTTCTTGTCTGTCCTGCTCTATCATAAAGAAATACCGAATTATTGGGTATATAAGGGACTGACACATTCTAGCGAAACAAATAACGTGTAGATAACTTCAGTTTTTCAGCCACCCACTGAACATCTTGTGTCCTCCTTCTTTGTAGAGGTTACGAAAGAGACAACGCTTTACAAATTTATTTCGAAAAGCAAGACGTATACTAATGTCTAATAGCTTTATATACCTTCTTGAATTTGTGGCATGCTTAAAGGGTTCATAGCTATTTAATGTCACTTAGTTATTTTCACTTGCAACGAGTAATCCCTGATCCCAGGTCTTAGCTAGCTGAAATATTCGCTTATTTACTTTAGTTTGTAAATAGAAACTGCCTTTTTATATTTGTACAAATATTTTAAAATAGAGATAATGCTGGCAAGTACTGTCGTAGTTAGAGTTTAGGAATAGGTTCAAATCTCTTTTGCTGAGCTGCTTTGACAAATATGAAATAAAATGTAGTAGATTTCATATTATATTCATTACACAATAATTTCAACGATTTATGTACAACAAAAAAATCACACAGTATATAGGGATCCTGCCTTTTTGCTGATAATCACTTGCCAACCAACGTTTCGCCTATTGTTCACTTTAATGACTAACGATTGTCAAATGTTTGTATGAAAACGTCTCATTTGGTAAAATTATTGTTAGATTATTGTAATGACAAAAATGTTTGGGGAATTTATCGTTTGTCAAATTATTTATTAGGCCAGACGAAATTCGGCGAAAAGGCAGAGATACCACGATATATGGTAAATGGCCATAGTTTCAAAATATTTATTCCTACGTCTTATTTATAACAAAATATAAAAATAAAAAAATTTCCACAGAAATTACTGTATAATTAGATACCTACATGTAAAGTAATAATTGTATTCGACTGATAGTTTGCATTACTAACTTGTACATACATATATACATTTTTTGATAATAAAATATCTATGTTTATATAAATAGTAAATATTTATGTCTGAAGCAATTTGGTCTGACTAGATAGTGTTGCAGAATGTTTCCAAGATACATAATGTTATAGTTCCTTTACACATAAACACTAGTCTGGTAATGTCTTCACGAGAGTATGATTTCGGAATTAGATTACAAATAAGTAGAGAATTATATTCGAGGTTCCAAGTCTCCTATTCACAAATTGTATATCAATGTTGTGCGCATGAGACTGGTTTCTTAAAACAGGCGTTTTTGTAAGCAAGGGCGAATAGATGGATTGTCAGTAATATGTAAATTAGTGTATTAGCGGACTTGGGAGTGGAATGAGTTGTTATTAAAATTATATATTAATTGATACTGTGTGACGAGGCATTATTAAGAGTGCCCTTTTAATTATCTTCCAGTTACATGTGTGGCACAATTTTTAGTACTTTATATTTAGTCTTAGAATGGCATTTATTAATAGCTGTAAATAAAACTAGCATTTTAATTGATACAATGTTTTCATCGGTTTATTTTTAACCACTAGATTTTATCACAGGACTTGTATACATTGGATCTCTTATGGATAAATTGTACAAAATTATATGAAATACATAATTACAGAGTATAAACCTATATGTTTTCATGGCATATCAGCTTCCATTGCTGCTTTCTTAAGAGCATCCCCTGTGAGCCGGTAGTAACACCATTGCTCTGAGTGTGTTAGGTTCACAGCTCCCTTACCCTCGTAAAAGGATCTTGCCTCATTCCATTCCAACACATGGAATTCTAAACGTGAACACCCTGATGATGATGCTTCCTAAAATGAAAAGGGCACTATGAAATGACATGAGAAAACAAGATATAATTAAATAAAAAAAAAACAGACAGCCTTATAGGATCTAACGATGAGACCTTAACAATTCTTTATTTATTATACAGACTTTATTACAAATAAGTAATTTTTATATTTTATATAAAAAACAAAGTGATGAACTATATTTATATTCTTAATTAAAATTCCTTTTTTTTTAACATAAGATATGGGACAAATGCGTGTTTGTGTTACTGCATTTCTATTAATCAGAAAAATAGGAGATCAGTATTGTGACAATTTTCATCACATATTTAACACAATTGGAAGGCTAAAAAGGTAAAAGGGTTTGTAGATGAATGTATAACATTGAACAAAATTTTACCTTAGCAACTGCATTAAATAGCCTTTTCCCAACACTTCGTTTCCTTTCACTGGAACGCACATACAAGTCTTCCAGCATCATAGCTCGGCCTTGCCAAGTGGAATATGTAGGAAAATATAGAGCATAGCCAACTATTGGATTCTGAACATTTTTGGGTACCTCTGCTACAAGACAGCAGAATGCTGGAGGATTTGATTCAAAGCCATCACGTTGGAGATCTGCAATGACATTGATGAAAAAATTACTGCATGTATGTTGAGTAATTTGTATGTTTTTATAAGAGCTAAGCTATTCACAAGACTAAGACATTGTTTTATAATCAAAATAAGAGTTATAGAACCATCATATGCTAAACTCATATCCACATTTTAAATATACTACTGTAAAATCCTGTTTCCCCTATGAAGAGTATTTATTTTTTTTAATCTGCTTTAATAAAAGTATGAGAAATGCATACTCATACATTTTATTAAAGGTGAATAAGACTTAAACTCAAGCGGTTTAAAGATTAATTGTGCATCATATTTGCGTACCTTTAACGGTTAACTTTGGTCCATCCGGCATTTTCTCAAAATCAGCGAGCTCCTAAATACAAAAAATATAACTTGGTTATAAAAGAAAATGTTGCACATTACCAACCTATTACTTAATATTATATTTACTTGAATCATTTCAGCAACAGCATCCATATCTTTAAGGGTCGCTGAACGTATTTTAATGTCTTTATCTTCATACTTCTCAGCCATTATTAATAAACAATAAATTTAAATAAATGCTTAAATTGAAAAGCGTTTTCTTATCAAATCACATGCTTTTTGATGCCGGTCTAGATAAAAACAAAAACACTTCATTGTTTGACAATGACAAAATCAATGTCAATCTTGTTCTTATGTCAAATAAGTCTGAAAATCGAGTAGGGTTATTAGAAAATTAAATTTCTTTGGCCAGCTAAAGTAAGCGCGCCGTCAACTTGCGCATAGTACTATCAATTTTAAGGAAAAATTCGAATCGCCCCGCACCCGCGCACCTCCTTTGTCGCAACAGATACTTGCTTTTTGCGTTTTGCACAACTATCAGCGCTAACTTCAGACTTGTCAAAAAGTTTGCAGAGCACTTGTACTTATATACGGTATATACCATATATTTTTTAAAATAGAAACTTATTACAATATACTAGAATTCTAAACACTTTACCGAGTTCTGTATGTATTAAATTCCTTAACTTATTTATTTGATGAATACTTACTCTCACAATTTACCTCCCTTGTTTAAGCTAATACTAAATTAAATTGCATACAATTTAGGAAATTATGGCAACTCATGCTGTAAAGAAAAATCAATATCAATTTTAGCAATAAATTTAATTATAATAAGAATAACGTACATTTATCCTATCTTATTTTACAAATGATTCTAAAGATACTTAACTCTTTATTTAGTAAATATGAAATAAAAGTCGCATACTGTCTACGTTGAGATATAAAAATACCTACACTATATATAAAGTATTCCTTATGTTTTATTTACAACAATAACTTTGTATTCAGTGCATTTTTATTGGTAAAACTTACGTATTGGTGAATGTAATCTGACAGACTCGTTCATAATTTAGAATTGTATTTCGTTAAAGTACAGGCAAGCTAACACAAAATAAACAAAATAAGCATTTATTATTAAACAATAATATTAAATATATAAATGAACAACCTTTCATTGCATACAAAATAAGTGTAATCTCAGATATTTTTAATACTATCTTAACTCAAGAGATGCCAAACAACGATCGCTTGCAATAATATGTACATTTAAAATATGTTCTTGATAAAATAATTACTTATTTACAATAAATTTGTGAATATAAAAATTATGCATAATAATATTGAAAACGCCGTAAAAGGCATTGAGATTGCATCAGAACAATAATGATATAGAGTAGGATAATTAATTTCGTCATTGCGCGTAATCCTGCCGCAAACCAAATTCCGCTGCGTATGCGTTGGTCCAGGCGCTAATTGGATCCGAAGTTGCTATAAAAGAAGTGTATATAAATATTTTATACTATAAATTAATATTTAGTAAAAGCTTTAAGAACTATTTCTATCTTACTTATGTGAGTAAGTTTTTGTACAGCAGCTGTAGGCGATGTCCTTGCTTCCGGGCTCTGGGAATCTTTTGTGTCTGAATCTATAACAATATACCAATATAATTTAATCTTACTTTTGGTGACTAGATGTAAATTATGTTCAACATGTAATTTATAGTATTACATTGTCTATCATAATCATCAATCTTGTGGAAACCATCTTTGACACAAACAATATCTCACTATAAATCTAAGCAACTGAATGCATTATAAATGATAATAAAGCAGCAACGATACACAAATAACAAGAATAATTCGCAACTAACCATTTATTTTAATGTTTTGCGCAATTATTAAACAAGTCTAAAAATATGCTTACTGTACGTGTCATCAGGCTGCAGAGCGAGTGGTTGGGCGGCCCTCCTCTGCGCTTGGGCCTTCAGCAATTTGCTCATCGTATTACGAGGTGTGGGGGGCGGACGCTCTAGAGACCTCCCGTGCACCACCGATACATGTCGCTCTAACATATACCTGTGAACAAACGCCAATTGTAAAATGTAATTTTATTTCATGTATTTATAAAGTTATATATCAAAGACTAAATCTTACTGTACTTAATGCAGATATTGTGCCATTTTACTACACTTTTTGTCTTTGTTAAAAAAAGTAATAAAGTCATTTAATAAGTTTCTGAATATAACACAATAATACATACCTCCTCTCATATCTTTCCTGGCAGTACGGACAACGGAACATGCGACGTCTCTCAGGCGGTTGACCGTTGGGTTCTTGCGTCGGCGCATTTGGTTCGTGCGATTTGCTGTGTGCTAAGAGGTTATATCTGGAGAAAAAATTATTCGAATATTATTCTTCACTCATAAAATTTGCATTAAAATCAAGAGAATCTGTTGTAACAAAAAAATTGATAAAAATAGCTGCACATTTATACCACAAAGAAATACCTATTTAAAACTTACTTAGTCGTTCCTTCTATACCAAAAAAGGGAAACTTTATTAGCCAAAGGGTCAAATATGAGCATTACAACTCCAAGAAAACCAAAAGCACTCAAAAGGTGAGCCAAATTTACTTTGAAAAGGTCCTTTGTTTAGGTTAATTTAGAATTAAGAGCTGGTGTTTTTTAAGCTGATCGTCGAAGTCGTGAAGGCTTCTAAATTAAAACAATCTTATTTTGCTACTACATCTGTAATGTTTGCCAAGTTTTCTTAATGAAACATGATCGCTTAAAGAGTACTATCCCAGCGACTGAAACAGGGTAACTAATACTCAAAGATTTTTGCAAATAATTTGAAGCTATAATTCTCATTTCAAAAGTAATTAATTTAACCTTACTGTACAATACACGAACCTCTCAGAGAATCTCTTTCCGCAGACTGGACATTCATGTCGTTTTTCGCCACTATGAACTCGCTTGTGTCGTTTGAGATGGGAGCGAGTCATCAACGCCAACCCACACACATCGCATGAGTGCGGTTTGACTCCCGAGTGGGAAAGCTTGTGCATCTTGAATGATGATGTGTGGATAAATGACTTGCCACAGAGGTCACACTGGTAACCAAAATAGAGAAATTTAATTCAGAATAATGCAGGCTCAATGGTACACTAGTAGGTGCTTATGGACTCCACCTCCACCGTCTTCACTACCACATTTAACATGTTTCTAAGGTCTATGTATATAATTTTCTGAAACATGTTCAATTTCGCCTGCAAAACCTATATAATCTAGATAATTTCTCTTTTCATCAAGTGAACCTAATATCAAATCTGTGTGTAAAATGAAAATAAATTCAAAAGAAGTAAGAGAATATGACCTATTTTTTTACCCAAGCAAATTAATTGCACAATCTCCTAAAAGATTAAAGTAAGGACTAGACGTTTTGGTCGAAGAACCTCAATTGAATTTGTGAATTACAAAGGGAAAAGTTAGAACAATATCAACCACAAAAATGAAATATACATACCTGATAGTTCAGTTTTCCTGTGTGAATATTGTTATGCCTTTGTAATGCACCCTTGGAGGGAAACAGTTTATTGCACTCTTCACACTTCCAATCACTTATACCTGAAAAGGACACATGATAAACTAATTACAAGTATTTTACAAGCCGGTTGATTTACTTAAAAGCTAAAAGCCTATGTCTGCTTCTAACAATTTTTTTTCCTTGGGCTCTTCCTTTACATCAATTGAAGTAAAAATAATTATAAAGGTTGTAGGGTTATATGTGATTATTGTATGAACGTGAGTGATGTGTACCCAAATGGTTTGATCAATTTTGATAAAACTTGGTATTATTACAGATATATTAAATAATGTGTAGAGTTGTAAACTTTTTCTCTGTCTCTTTCTGTCTTTCAATGTTTCTGAAGTTTAATTATAAATTTTAAGTGATACCTTTATGTAAAGCAACATGTATGTCACAAGCACGCTTGTGCTTGTAATGTGCTCCGCAGACTTCGCAGATATATGGAGGTTTTCCATCATCCTCGTGCTTTTGTTTATGGTGTTCCAACCGAACTAAAATGATATGATATATGTATATGAAAACTTTTACAATTCCTTTCCCACATTACTCATTAAATTTGACTAATTTCTTTTAGTACCAGAGTCAAATCTACATATTCATATACTGTTATAATGTTTACACTTGCATTGGGTTTACAGTTTCGTGTTAAGAGGTAATATGACTATGACCATAAACAACAAAATGGTATTATAGTTAGCAGAGCACCTATATTTAAGTAACATTTTTATTTTGGTCATTCTTTAAAACACATTTTTATTTAACATCTGGAGATCTAAATATTAAAATAATATTAAAGTTTGTTTATAATTCTTACCTGGAGAGGTGAATTTAGACGGACATTTATCACAATAGAAAATCTTTTTTGGCGCTTTATTACCCACACCCTTTTTTCTTCCTCGTCTTTTTTGCCCAACAATACATGTCTTGTCTTCACCTTCTGCTGGGTCCGGAATGTACTCATCATCATCATCTGCGTAATCATCTTCTACTTTGAACATATCATCAAAGTCTGTGGAGATTGTAGAATTAGCCCTGCAAAGATATATTTTCCTTTTAAAACAGATTCCCTAGTAGTGAAATACCTTTTATTGCTTTAAATGCAAATATACCTGGGTTTAAGTCTAGGAAAAGACTATGCTCTCTATGCAAATTATAAATATTTTTACTACTATTTTGGTATAACCATATGAATATTTTTTTAATTCTAATTTTTACACACTTAAATAAGGAAATAGCTAACTTGTCATTGTCTTCTTTCTTGATAGTTTCCACTTCTAGAGGAGCCATGTGTTTCATAAGCATATGTGACACAAGGGCAGCTTGACCGCCTTTGCTGCCTTGTGCATTGCATTCCTTACATTCCCAGCTGAAATGAAAATAATTTGAAGATAAAATAGTAAATTATGTTCTTAGGTAGATGTTTCTATATGACACATTGACAAAGCACAGCTCACTTGATGGTCAAAGAAACGCCTCCCCCCTAATAACCAATTAGGATATATTGAGTTCATTAAAGTCTTCAATTGTGATAAATCTAAGTTGTCTTTATTAACTAATATAAATTACCTTTCATCATTTAATTTACGCCTATTTTTAACAACTTTTCTCTTTCCTTGTGTTTCATTCTTTTTAGATTCAGGTTTTGAAACAACACGCTTCTTTTTAGTAAGTGAAAGAGGTTCATCCTCTGAATCTGAATTTTGAGTTCTTACAGGTCCACTGCTTTCACTTTTTACAATATTAATATTACTTAATTGAATTTCAAAGAGTGGATTCTTACTAAGTATAGCTTCAAATGCAATTTTCAGTTTCATATATTCTGCCTCTGTCTGCTCCAATATATCTATGAGGTCAAAACAATTTTTACATATCTGCTTCGAGTTATTTTCTGTGCTAAGGTCTACTTGGGTGTACTTAGAAAGATATTCATGTAAAAAGGTTCCAGCTTGAGTTTTTGTGTTGATATCGATAAGATCGGCGCTTCGTTCCATGCAAAGTGTACATTCTAAATGTTCTTTCTTTACAGTAATTCCTTCCTCCTTAATATTAATACCGTTTCCACACGATTTTTCCACATTCTTGATTTCTACGCTCGAATTGGCGACATCAGACTCTTGACCAATGTCTGTCATCTTGATACCGAAATATTTCTATATTTCTACAGTTATATTTAAAATAAACAATATTACAACATTATTGAAAAAGAAAAATTATTAAATACATTAACAAATAAAAATCAAATCACCGAAAAGACAACAGTAAATTGTTGAGTGCATTTTTTTGCTTTTATCTGAGAATTGACATCTATACCTAGCTAGGTAACTCACAAACGACGTTTGACATTGACATAACAGTGGGCAGAAAATTTAACCATAGAATAATATTCAAGTCATAAACAAATACAGATAGAGTATATTATAAAATATAAAAAAAGGCTTAATAATTTTCATTAACGGTTCATAATAATATTATTATAAAAAAAATAAGTTCAGGTTTGAAGAAAGAGAAAATAAAAATATACTCACAGTTTTTTTACGTTCCGAATAAAGTGATAAAAATTTGCTTAATATTCTATTAAACAAAAATTTTGTACCTTATTATCTACCTAAGTACTACTTAATTTTAATGAAAATACTTCAATGAAAATTTTACAGAATAATTAATTTACCCTCTCTCGATCGATATCATTATATATCTCATTATGATCCCATTGATTGAAAAGTTACTGTTTTTAAACAACTACATTGTGAACTAACGGACACTACATTTTTTGTAAACAACATAATATAATATTTTATTCCTAAAGGGCAGCCAGGCGGATCGCCCCAACCCTTATACAGACAAGCAACAAGCGAGACAGCAGTTACACCAGTATACTAATGACCACGAAGTAGTGCAGTCTATCTTTACACTTCGGTAGACAACAAATAAAAGCATTATAGTGGTACTCGGACGGTCGTATTTTTTTCATCACGTGTGCGTAGAATTTGCGCGTGTGTATTTTTCAATTTTGTATCTGTGCAAAAATAGGCGGCAAAGTGAAAAATAAAAAGTTATTGTTAACGTTTCATCTACTTAGAGATTTGTGGAGATGTAAGTTCATTATTTTTTAATGCTATAAATATTTTTCTTATAATATTCAACTTTTCAGATATCATAACAAAATTTCGAATTATTCAGTCTACAAATAAAAATTTTGTTTCAGTTTATTTTAAGACACTGTAATAGTTAATTGAAAATAATACATACTAAGTATACTTATTCGTGTAATGTTATGAATATGTAGTAATTTTTTTAGTGAGCTGCAATATTGAGGAATATACTTACTTAAAAAATAAAACCGTATAAATAAATGTTAAATAATAGTATGTATATTCTATGCATGTAACTATAACATAAGAGATGTTTTAAACTCTCAGATTTCGAATAATTTTGTGAAATCTCCCGCTATCACAATATTTTAATTTTCAATGGTAGTTGCGATTTTTACAAACAATTAAATTTGATACGATTTGCATAACACTTGTTCCTGTGCAGGCGATGAATTGAGCCAGTACAATGGCCGGCACTATTAGTAATTGAGGTCAACAACCCCCCATGATTTCTACATAATATTATGGCCTTTGGACACGTGACTAAAACAGGGCGGTTTCAGGGCTGACTCTTGGTGATTTTTTATTTTTAAATCAACGAGCGTCTAAGTTGACACACTAATCCAATTCGTTTGGAAGCAGCGAATACCAAACTAAGCAGTAAAACCAACTATTATACGACAACACAATTAATTAAGAGGTAGCAACGAGAAACTTGTAAAATAGTAACGAATAAACATGAACCATTAAAATCAGAATCTAATAATTTATTTGTTATAATATAATGCTAACATACACCTAACAAACATTGATAAATAAAGGAAGAAAATTAAACTATCCAAAACAAATAGTGAGACAGACGGGCGTGTAACATAAGTATTATACATATAGAATAAAATATAAATAAAAAAATAAGTCTTTACTGGTAAAGCTTTACACTTCACCAGTGAAGACTTACCACATGTTTCTTTTTATTCGTTATATTTAAATATTTTATCTTTGTTAATACATATATTTTTTTTTTTATTGCTATTATATCATCGATTTTTTTCAATCTCAAATAGATTTTTACTATAATATGTATATGTTTACTAAAACTTACTTATTACCGTTTTTCTGCAACCAATTGACCTTGCTTAACTTTATATAACTACATTATTCAAACATTAAGTACAGTAAGTAGGTTCCTAGCTCATGAGAAAAAAAATTAAAACGAAATATTGAAAATAGAAGACACAGCCTAGTACGAGCTTAAAGTATAAAACTCTATAATTTCGTGAACTATGCCCATATTTCGAATATTTCCAATGTTTTCGGTAACTGGTCATACGGATGAGTTAACGAGATTATCAATACGGTAAAGTGCGTGTCGCGAGATGACGCGACGCTGTTTCCGACCCCAAGCGTGACGGTACAACGGGAGCTCCACATTCGCTTATAGCGGTTTATAACTTCTTAATATCCTCGAATCGGTACATACTACTATGCTTCAAGTAGCAGACAGAAGTCACGCATTTTTTTCTGTCGTTGCCAAATTATTGATAGTATAGAGGTTGTATATGGAAGCTAAAATGTTTGTTACTCTATTTAGTAGATGTTAGTTTTTTATTTAGTTCCCTATGATGTTACAAACAATTTATCAATCACCTTTATTTCTTTAAGGAAAAAGAGTTGAATTTTGTCGGTTAAGTGTGTCAGTTTGGGGTGTGCGTGTGTATCCGTTTTACAATCGAGTGACTACAGAATTAAGGGGACCCCAATGACGTAGACTGTAGAAGCTTTTGGTAATATGTTACGAATTCATTACTTTACACAAAAAATGTATTGTACAACTGATAAGGTCCTTTAAAAATAAGTATACATTTACATATATTTTTATTACATCTGTAAAGAAAATAAATAAAAAGACTAATAGTGAATAAAATGTCTATATTTATATGACGAATATACTAAGCTAACGTTTATTTTGGCGGTCAAATTGCAAAAGACAGGATGGTTTATCAAAATAATGTGTGGTATAACTTGCTACCATTCGCATATCTTTGTTTAACGGCCGAAATAGCATCTCCGAGATGGTGAGGTATTTTCTATTAGGTAGTTATGAAATATAAAGTGGCCTAATTCTAATAGGTAAGGTATTAGAATTAGGCATTTTTATTTATATTCATTTCAGAGCAGTTTTATCAAAGTCCATACTAATGCAAATTCCAGAAGTTTCAGGAAATACAAGATTATTCTTCCGGTAATATTCATTGGCACATTGACATAAATGCATTCCATATCAATAAATTTCCACATCCATTGTTTAGAAATTAGCTCAAAGCAGAAAAAGTCTCACTGCCAGTAATCCAATAATGACTGTTTCCATTCTATAGAAAAATTAATAGACTTAATGGGAGAGAAGTCAGAGTTTTTCTAAGTGTGATGTCATGGATCAGTGACCGATAATAAGCCCCAAGTCTCTTAATCACTTACGTATACATATATATTATATAAATTTAATACCATTATATAACAAATAACACCACACAGTCTTTTGAAACTAACGGATTACAAACGAATGATTCAATAAAATAATTAATCTCATAAAAAAATAAATGAAAAGAGCATTCGTAAAATTTTTTACTCATCTCTGCTGGTGCTGAAGTAGATCTTTTTTTAAGTTGTTTATTGAAAAAATAAACTTTTTAATTGAAAAAAAAAAACGATAGTACTCCATAATAAAATACTAAGACTTTGTTAACCTCCAATCTTCAAGATCGAAGGTAAAAGTGCCGTAGAATCCTTGGCCCAACAGATTGTAACATGAAACTCAATATGCTACACCTGATACGATATAGGATACTTCAAGCTTTGGAGCTCGAACGGTGACCGCGATGCATCGCCGATCAACCACTCGCGTGGAACGTAGCTCGTAACAGCCTTAGGGCAGGTTGCTTCAACAGTGCTTAACGGATATGTAGATGTTAATAATGGCGGCTTTCAATTCAAGGAATATCTTGGAGGACATATACCGTTTGTAAATATACTACAAATCATCCTTGTTTTTTTTTAACTGGTGGTGTGAATGCTTATTCTTAATGCATGGCCATGCTAGGCAAGTGTGAGGTGGGGAGAGTGGCCGTGTGTATAGCCGACAAGAACCACTAAACAAACCAAATCAGCCCTCTGCGTTTGTATGACTCCAAACCTCCCAGACAACAAATCATCTTGGATAACATAAAACTAGTATACAAAAAAGGGAAAGCTTTACTTTTAATTCAATACAGGCCGAAAATAATATTCACTATGATGAAGATTTTTTATTATTTCGTATGTAACATTATGTGTTTGAAGTTGGAATAAAGAACAACATAGCTACTCTTCAGCTAAGCACCTAAGCGTTTGGAAAAAAAAGGTGTCCTATAAGACCACGTCCAAAAACATAGCATAAAGCTAGGTACCAACATCAATATTATAAGCTCATAAACGTATAGCTCCAACTTTAAGTGCGGTTTATAAGCTACATGCAAAGCGAGCTCAAAAGAAAGTAAAACTAACGAATGAATCCGAAACGACTTTGATATTTTTTCCGCTTTCTAACTGCAGCCAGTATTGTGCCTTAAGGAATTCCGAGGCTCAAGAGCATTCCATATTTAAATTAGTATCACTTTCGATTTTATACAACATTGTAGATCGTATTATAGTGCTCAATTGCAACGATAGTTTTAGGTAAAGGACCAAGACAAATTAACGCTACACAGGCTTTAATAAGTCATTAATTGCTTTTTTAATAAAATATATGTATTTTAATAATATATATATATAGCTTTGTCACCGACTTCGTCCACGCAGAATTGTTATTTTGGGCTTTAAGATTTGTTTTTGCAAACATCCTCATCTCTCTCATCTTTACTTGATATATGTAGAGCCAACACAAAAAAAAGAACTTTTTAAAACTGTATACTTTCATCGTCAGCACTCCGTGCTGAGTTGCCGTTGTGTGGCGGTTGAAGTCCTGCCCGAGTCGAGAATTTTTAAATTTATTTTTGATTTTTAAATTAAGAACTTTTCAATTCGAACCAGTAGTTCCTGAGATTAGCGCGTTCAGACATATAAAAAAAACAAACGAAACAAACTCTTCATAATATTTCCTCGTAAAATTGTCACGTAGATCTTCGCCGTAAACTTTTGATAACGCAGAGTGCGTAAAATTAATCATAATGAGCTTGCTTTCTAGATTGTTAGAAATTTTGATTTTTATCTTAACCGCATTTACCAACAAGGAATGCCTTTTCTGTGTCGTTTGTATTTATTACTGGGCCATTGTTTTGTAACTTGTATACTGAGAAAAGAAATTCGATTTTATTGAAGTAACTTTGAAATTAGTTTTTATAAAACATATTAAGAGAAAAAAAGTATTGATGATAATAAATGTATCCTGTACTACTTAAAAAAGGTTTTACTTTACGCTAACATAGGTTATAACACAGTTACTTAGATTACTATGTTAAGTAAAAATACTTCTATATTAGTGTTTCACTCATCGTGACCATGGCCACTGTAAAGCATTCGAAACGTCAGGCCGTAGCTATAGCCGTACATTTCGTGTTTTAAACCGTTAAAAGAGTTTCGTTTAAATACTATTTATTACTCATATTACAAAGATAGGTATGCTCTCGAGCAATAGACGTTTTCTTACATCATAGGTGGTCACTTTATATAAAGTATGTCCTCGGTTCCAGAATGGCGTGTAGGGTTGGCGGCTGTACCGACAGACAGACGACATGAGTTGCCGGTAGCGACAGCATGAGCGCCCTGCTGTGCCTGGCGCTCCTGGTCGTAGCGCCGACGATACAAGCCCAAGGTATTGGATTATTCGCTATTTGCTTTCTATGTATTTAAATATTAAGCGTAGGATTTCATAAAATGTAGTAAGTACATTTAAATTTTCTCATAACATGTGTGAAGGTTTTGCGGTCGTTTACCAAAGCTACTTCGGTTTTAAAGTTGTCGAATCGTAGTCGAGGGACGCGTATCATCTAAGGATGCCGCCCACTCGTGATCGCGATATGTCGAGAATTTCTTAATTACGACGGTCGAAGCTCGGACACCCAAGTAGGATTATTTAAGTCGTACGTAATCTGCATATAAATGCGGAAATATCCTAACATTTCACATATTAACGAATAAATATTATTATACGCAAAATGTATAATGATTTATTAGAAGATTGTTTAAAAATATGTTTCGTGTTTGCTGAAATGTAGACGCCGACACCGGCACTTGAAACAGTCCGTTCACGCTATTTCGTGGACTTAGTTAGTCTTTGTTTGCAAAACCTCTCACGCGACTAAATAGGAATAATAATAAATTCAAATTTTAATTAGAGGGAAAAGATTTGACGACACGGGCGGTTGTCATGTTCATTTCGTTAAGGCCGCAGCACGGAATTCTGTTGATGCCGGTTCGCGTTCCGTCCGTATCGTATTTTTTTTTCAATGTAAATAAATTAAAAATGTATATTTAGTTATTAAAGTTTTTAAAGGAATGTTTTTTTTTTAATTTAAACTTTAATTGGTAATAAAAAATTAAATTAAGTACATCATGGGTCGCAAATTATTAATACAATAAATTACGAAAAACTTCGGGCTACACTTGATGAAAGGTATACCCCATAAAACATATAATTTAGATAGATAGACACATTATCTTCTTATTGAAAGACTAAACACTTCGGTACATAACGCGTTACAACTCCAACCATTCCAATTATTACTTCTATCGGATATCCAGCAACGCATGTGTTTTGTGATTTTACACAGAAAAACACTGATTACGTGTAAGACTTACATGCTTATTGTGTTTTAACTAAATCTTTTTATTATTGTGGGGAATGTGGATAATCCATTCTACCCGGAAAGCATATATCGCGTAATCTCATTACTAGCCTTAGTCCTATTTACATAATACGGCTTTCCCGGCCATTCACTCCTGTCGAAGCAATCCAAAGGTTAAAAATAAAAAGGTAATAAAGTACTAAACATTAATAAAATAAATGTGCTAAATATTTATATGTTTTTATAATAGAGGTAAAGAGACAAGCATACGGTGTACTAGGTGGAAGGTGAAAAACTCCAGACCTATAACAGTTAAGCTAGGTGCGCTAGCGACCTCTTTTGGTTTTGGATGTTTGGAAATCCGAAATCCGACGGAGTTTCTATCTATAATAATATCCTACCATTCATTTAACAGCCAGATTTCCAAACGAACTCCAAGTTGTTCCAAGACAAATTTTAAATTGATTAGAAGTATATTTAACACCGCAGTGTTAATCTTCCAAATTATTTGTTCTATCAACACAAACTTCCAGTATCAAAATGCATTACCAAACAAACATACAAATCTCGCACTTGTCCTTTTCATACGACGTAAGATTGTGTCCATTTTATAAAAGTCGTTTGAACTTAAATCGTGTTAATGAACGGTCAATAGTAACTCGCCACTTCTTTATTTCCTACCCTGCTTCATTACCATATGATAAATGTACTTTGAACTCGACGTAAAATACGCTTATCGGGGTCAACAAAGCCGTTTTTATATCCTTTCTTTATGTTTCATAGTTCTTTAAAGTCGTAAATCTACGTAATCATGGTAGTCGGTGCTGCACCTTTATAAGAACTTAATAGATATTCATTAAGTAATCAAATTTCAGCGTAAATCTTCATATGGTACAAAAACGTTTGCCTGATTTAGCTGATCCGGTGCTTTCGTAAAACAAAAAGCCGTTGAAGAAAATCTATACTAATATAAGCTGAAAAGTTTGTTTGTTTGATTGTACGCGTTAATGTCATAAACTAGTTTTTCGTTACGTTTGAATTGATACTTTTTGGTGTTGGTAAGACCAATTATCGAGGTAGGTTATAAAAAAACGCGTGTGACTAGTAAGAGTGAAGATACAGCGGGGAATGTGATACAGGAAAAAAATATTCATCCTTGTGGGTTTACGTTGCGTACGCTACGAAAACGATTCAATATACCCAATAAATGGATAATAAATGATATAAAAAATGTCTGTGTCTAAATATGTCTATCTTTTAAGATTGACTTGTAAGCCGGGACGGGGATGACGTCGTGCGTAACAGCGTAAAAAAATCAAGAGTTAAACGGGGTTTACAAAAACTAATTGTGATGCCCTATATACTATACGGACGAAGTCGCTGACACAGCTAGTTATATATATACCTACATACATACGTATTGTAAATGCTAAAAATATCGTTTACAAGGGTTTTCAAAGGACCGCCTTGAAACATGAACATACCTAGCGATTATGTGAAACTCCTTATATCCTATATTATACTCGTAGTAGGAAATTAAAGATTATCGATCTTAATAAGTATGCAGCCAATGCGGACAGAAGTGATTCAACGGCGAGTTGTATTACAGCAACATCCTTAGGACGTTACGATTGATTGCTGTCGAAATTTTGCTTGAAAGATCCCTATTGTTGTGTAATTATTGTTTTTACATCCGAATGTAGGTCGAGTACTCACTGGCGTGAACTGGGTGAATGAGAACATGGTCAGGAATCTGGAATATTGAAGCAAAAACCATACATTGACACTCTGCCAATACGCATTTGACCAGCGTGCTAGATTTTTGGAGTCCACGAAATATTTTGTTGGCAAAGTAGAATGGTAGCTATCACGCCTATTCTTTGACAGAAAATTACATAAATAACTTCATATTAAGTTTTTTTCCTTATAGAAATGCATTTTGCACCGTTCAATGGTGAGAGGAGTTCGGGACTTGGTCTACTCACCCTTCAACCCCTTTTAGAGGAGAAAGGGAGATCATCTATCCACTAAAATTCCAAAGCCTATGTTTACGCTAAGTGTGGTTGTCCCTGGTTTACAGTTCGACCCTTCCTTGTAAAATTGTCTACTCAGCCTTTGTAAAACTTTCATGTTAGAGTTTTGTAACCAAGTGCACTTTCTGAAGTCCATCGTTTTAATGGGCCTAGCTTTAAATTATTTATATTATAAAGTATAGATTCATAGTGAACAAACCGGTCTTCAACAGAAAGGTTTATGATTTGCTAGTAGTACCTGGTCGATAATTAACTCGTCGTTGAAAATTGCTAGTCAGATTTTGCTACTAAAACTGTCATGTTCGTGGCTTTGTAACTATGCCTTGGAAGTCCATTGTTTTAAAGTCCATTTAAATGATTCTATAATAAAGTTAGTGATGGATCCGGTCCTTTTATGTAAGGTCGATAATAATTCAAAGGCAGAGCGTCACAAGTGGCTTTGAAAACATAAATTTCTGCAGGTCAAAAAAACTATTTACCAATAAAATTTGCATAACTTTAAGCTTAAATTTGGATATCATGATTAAAAAAACAAATACGATAGAGACAGGATGCGATCAAAATATCTAGGATAAATGTTATTGAGATCACATCTGCAGTAATAATGATAATTAATAAATTATTATGCTTCAAGTTTAGTAAACGATTACTGTACCTACCTTATTGTACCTATATGTGAAGGTCGCAAAATGTTTATAAAACGTGAAATAGAAAACAAAAAGTTAAACAGAGTAAGAGGTCACGCTCTGCATAGCTTGGAGAAATGCTGGCAGAAATTTTAACTCACAGAGAAAATTATTTTGTAGTCAACATAATAAATAACAATCGTTTGCGAAAATATAAAATCTTTCGTATAATATTGTATACGCTTTGGCTGAATATGACATCGGGAATGTTTTTCTAATAAATGTATTTTTAATATATAACGCTTTATTATATTACTAGCTGTGCCCGCTATGTCGTCCGCGTGGAATAGTGAGTGACTTGGGGTAAAATTTTTAATTATTTTGGCTGTTTAAGTAAGTAAGTGCTACTTTGACGCAACACCCACATCACTCTTCAATCACTCCTCAGTAGTTTCGGAGTTAAAGCCGGACAGACAGAGTTACTTTCGCATTTATAATATTAGTACAGATTATTTATTAATATGATTTTTAGGAACGAAATGGAGAAAGAAACGGCTAGGGATTTATAAAAAAAATGGTTTTGAATACGAAGTAACAACGTAAAGGAAATATTGTCTTCGCATGTAAGATTAATATTATTTTTCCCTTATTAACATCCATTCTATGTAGAGGTGACATAAATTCGTTCATAACTGTAATAAACTAATAACTGTACCGAAAAATCGATAAAGAATTTTCAACGTTCTCTCTCAAATTGTGAATCATAAGCGTGGAATTAAAGATGGATTGGATATTGTAATTCTATAATTTCGCAATGATCCAATTAAAATTTGAGGGGATATTCTCAGACAAATGATATTCGAATTCCATCGATATCAGTCGCAGATTATATTTTCTATTACAATGGAGATTTTAGTCGACGTTAATTATATCGCCATTTCGAGAATAGCCTCCTAAGCGGCTCCTAAGCGACCGATGACGCAATGTTTGCTAAGCGATCGTCTTCAGAGATCCGTTCCGCAAGCAGCCGTAAGCCGTAACACTCTGTTTGTTGCATTACAACATTACTACACATCTGTACTTTTACATCTAAATGCCTTGGGATATTCTAGATTTTATTTTTAGTATCCAAAAGTTGGTCTTGCACCGAGAATGATAAAAACTAAACAAATGCGAGGAGGTTTCTATTACTTATATTGCACATGGTAGAAGTCAACTATCATAAAATCTTTTGCACTTTAAGTTACAACGTTCAAAGTTATATTGTAGTAATGAACTTAAAGATTATCTACTCATACTTGTTAGTAGTCTTGCACTACTCGTAACTTTAAATCTGCCTATTTTCTAGTGATTCTGCTGAGTTATAGT